TGACCATTCAGTGTATATGCCTGTAGTTGTAAATAGTGTAACGCAACGGGGGCTCAGGCGGGCGCCCTTGCCGCATTAAGTCGGCCCCCCACCGTCGGGGGCTCAAACCCGGGACTCCCGCGTCACTCAGCATGGACCCAGCCCGGTGAGCCAAAGAGAGATCTCTCTACAGCCCAGTAGCTGTAGTCCTGCCATCACAGGGAAGGGCAGTGACGTCACCTGCTCTGGTACGCGGGCTCTTACACAGTGCCTGTCGGCCGTAAGCGTTACAATAGTGTCAATCATCGTGTAAATAGTTATTCCCGGTTTGTACCCCTTTATTCCTGTACCCATCTTCCACCCTATAGTTATGTACCTGTACCCCGAATGACCCTAGTGTGCCGTAGCTACATTGGGTCCCGTTCTTGCTGCTGCTGTAGTGTTAGATGCATCTCTGATAATAAAGCACTTCCGTTTTTAGACAAAATGGACGAAGTTCTTGTTATTCATCCTTACCAAATCTGCCATACTACTCACAATAACTCGTAGAATTATCGATATGGCGGTTGATGTCAGAAATACTCTGATAGAGCCCTTTAAGATGAGCAGATGCTTTTCATTGCAATCAGATGAGTCTGTAAGATGACTTTGATTTGGCCAATTTGCTCGTTTACGTTAGATACGAGTTTGAGGGTACTGTATGTCCCGTGAGGACTTTCTGTTCTGTAAGCCGCTACCCACAAGAACTACAGGAGAGCACATACTGTATTTCAGTTTCTGAATGAATTTATCGAAGATAGTGGCATCGCCTGAATTGTATCAAGGCTCGACCAATTAATTCACATCTGCTTTGCTCGACTAAACAGGCTCACCCCTCTCACTGAAATTGTGCCTTTTTATTGTTTATTTTTAATTCTTGTTGTTCCTATTGTCATTCTGTAAAGCGCTTTGAGAAGCCAACTTTAAAGGCGCTATATCAAATAAAGTTTATTATTACAATATTATATGTGTGTGAGTGTGTATGCGCGCTCGCTCATGTTGGTCATTGAGATTTTCTGGGGTTCCTATGAGATGACTTGTGGGTGGTACTTGGTCCAAAAAGTTTGAGAACTTCTGACTTAAACATCACGACATTGCTCTAATTTCTAGCATATTTTATATATTTAGTAATACTTTTAGTATTTCTACGGTTTTTATACAATAATAAATGGAGTCCTTTTTTCTAAACTTTTTGTTATGACATTTTATGCAATTTCAGGAGTCTGTCCAGGAATCAACTAAAGAGACAAATTGCCTTTGAAACAAGGTTATCCGGCGTGCAGGAAGCCTTATAATCAGGAATTACAGTCGAACACCAGCAAACCAATGGCGGAACAGCCTGTCACACACGCCCAGACAAGACCGCCTCTGCTCTTCAGTTGCTGAAACTCCGCCTTGTCATTGGCCTCTCTGGCCGGAGTTTGACAGCTAACTGGCTGCCGGCTGTCAAGCTAGTTGGACGGGTGCGGTTGGGTGTCCGTCAGTGTGCCCCGGTTGTATCATTGAGAGGTCGGGTCTAGCCGCGTCTGTGAAAGGAGCACTGAGCTGTCGCCGCGGAGCCTGAGCTCAGGGGTTGGTACGTTTTTATACCCTGACATTAAATACAGTATATCACAACAGCGCCTGCGTGCGCTCCTGCTCGGCATTTATTCATCTTAGTTGCTCGGCTCAGATGGATGGCCGCGTTGTGCCACTAAAGTATCAGGGCATTTTCGTGCCTTTGAAAGAGGCGTCAGAGTATTATCGATCTTAATAAGAAGACTTCCGCCCTTTATCAGTTCAAACTATGGAAAGATGACATGAGTTAGGGCGCACGTTTTATGAAGCGAGTGCCGTCTGAGCTGATATTGACATCTCGCCGGTATTATTTTTCTAGTGCTGTCTGCGTTACCTGTCATCCCCGTTTCCTAGCTGTGCACTTCCATGCAGACACCCCGTTGTCACGCTTCTGCAGCGCACAGCGCAGAAGAGCGGTTTCGCTTTTCTGTTCCATGCATTGGTTATCAGCGAGGCTTCTCACATCGCAAAGCTCAGTGTCATTTTGCGTGTCTCTAGTTCGTCAGCACCGTTTTACAAGTGCGGCTGAAGACCAGGAGTTACACGCAAAGTGCATAAAGCTTTTTAAGTTAATTTCAACAAATGTAGTTAAGGCAGTGAGTAACGTAAAAACAACAGACGTCTCAATTGCTTTAACGTATACATACTGTATCAATGGGATGACAGAACAAGGACATTTGATAGAAACATGCAAGACTAATGTCACGGCAAAAACGGCGACCGTTGCTGATAACTGGGCTCCAGTTTCATGTTCACATTTTCACATCATCCAAACGGCTTTTAACACACTTTAAACAAGTAACTAAGTTCTTAAGTGAAATACTTTTGTTTCCCGAGTATGCGAGATGTCCTTGCCTCTGAAGGAGCTGGGGACTAAGAGAAGTGGTGAATTAGGTGCGACTTCTCCCCATGTGGCTTTGGTTTTAAAGGATAAATAAAAGCCTCACCAGCCAGGACTGGGATTAGAGATGCAATAATCCCTGATTTGATCATTTCCTGTTTCAGTGTTTAAAAAGCGTTGTGCGTTCGCCTGTGTTTTGGCAGTATGAACGATATGGTGAGTCAGACACAGCGGGCTTTCTCTGCGAGAGTCTGGATCTTAAAGTCACAGTGACCTTCCAATACAGAGTCCTGCTTTATGAAATTGAGCGCCTCCAAATCCGGTGGAAATGTCTAGTTTTCTGACAGCATTTCTGTTCCCATGATGTACTGTAAGTATCAACCTTCTGAGTGGGTGACCATCTACATGAGGCCCTGCATAGTGCTGAAGGCCAAGCTGCCAAATGTCAGTTCTGTCTTGCTGTTGCAGTTTAGCACTAGATAAGACTCCTATTGCACAGCAACTTGTTCCATTTTGGGAGTTGTGTGAGGAACAGTGTTACAGTGAATAGCACTGAGGAGAGCTTTGGAGGAAAATGCTCACTGTTATGCAGTTACGCAGCATTAATTAAAATGTGGAGTTTTAATTTAAACGTAAAATTTTAAAAATATATTTTTTATGTAAAGCATGGACTTAATGAGGCAGAAAACTAATAAAACTGATCTGCTGAGTAAATAAATTACATTTACAGCAGTTTGTCTTTACAAATAGGCTGAAAACCAGTTTCCAAGTAGGGAATGGAGTGGCATGGTGGCTGGACAGTTAACTGTACAGTTCTAGGGAGTAGGGATAGGACTGATTATTAGAAATGGCCTTTTCCCCCACTGGTGCCCAGTCCAGGGCTCAGTGCTCCTGCCCTGTCCTGTCTGATAACATGTACAGTAAAACCTAAATTGGGTCACATGGTTATAGAGTGAGAAACTTGTGTGTATCACTATAGTTACAGGCCTGTCAAAGCTACACCTTTGTCCTCCTTTGAATAGGCAAGGCTTAAACTGTATGTATACTTGTATCAGTATCCACAGGGTTAACCTCAAATCCCATGTCTTTTTTTGCACTAGATCAACAAATGCTCACAATATCCTGGGAAGTATTTGGTACAAATCATGTAATGAATGAGACGACGTGGTTAAAAAGGCAAACAAACTCTTTAGTTCTGTTTTCAGCTCATAAAACGGTTTGGGAAAATGGGCTGTAAATCACTTGGAGACGGAAAGCCTGCAGCCGATGTTACACTGGAGCAGGAAACAAGTCTTGTCTGTGTTTTAAGGACAGTGAAATAGGGCTGACACAGCGCGTGGTTTTCGTGTGCTTCAGAAAGAGGCAGGTGAAGAGGAAGGATGCCCGGCGATCTGCCACTCGACATCGACATTAAGGAGCCGCGATGGGACCAGGGCACCTTCGTGGGCAGAGCCATGCACTTCTTCAACGTGACCAACCCCCTGAACGTGCTGCTGTCCAGCGACACCCTGGAGGACGCACGGAGGACGGTGGAGAATTACAAGTGAGGCTGAGGGCGGCGGGGGTGCGGGGCAGTAGGGGCAGTACTGTACCCTGGGCGGTGGGGGCAGAAGCTCTCCAGGGGCCGGGCTGCAGGTGCCAGGGGGAAGCTGGAGTGGCACAGGCTTCTCCTGTTTCACACTATGACCTCGCCGGAGCTTTCCCAGGGAACCTGTATGGTCTGTGAACAGTGTGGGGGCTGCAAAGGGCTTGGAAATTGAGCCTCAAAACCTTATAATGACTTAGAATGCAGCTGTTTTATATACTAATGGGCAGAGCTGTTCCTTTCTGAAAATAGTTCTGTCCCTTGACTATCTGTGCCACATAAACAAGATCAGACTTCCACAGGGTAATGAGTTTGGCTCTCCTCCATTTCATGCTTGATATTGTGTCTTTTTTAATCATCAATTTTAAAGCCTTAAGTTACTGACACTCAAAGAGAGAATCTGGGACCTACTGTACCTAAGGGCCCTAAAGTACCTAAGGTTGTTTGTGAAACGTTCAGTCAGATTTGTGTAAAATCCTTTATCAAAAACATGCGATCACAACAAGGTGTGTGGTAGCAAAGACATTCTGGTGCCATTAACTGGCCTGTGACATGTGTCACAGTTATGAAACCATGTGCATGCTATCTAATACAGACCCTACTGTATATGCACTTTTCATAAAGAGCCCCTGTAGTAAGTTTTGTTGTGCAACTTAAATGAATAAAAATGATAATGCAAAAAAAAGGATATGCAACTGTTTGCATTATCTGAAAGTGTCCCTGACTGTTTATCTGTCACCTATCTGGACAGATGTATGACAAGGAGCTCAAGAAGAGGAGGAGTAATGAATGTCACATTACTGTACACTATACTGCTGCATACAGTGGCCAAACAATGGCCTATCAACTCACCCAGCCTGTTTGGTAGTTAGTAGATAATTGATCTGATTATTAAATCCCCCTGTTTAGTGAAAAAGGCATGATACCGTGGTTGGGTAGCCTCATTCAAACTCTGCCTTAACCTCTGGAATTTATTTATGACAAATATGACTTGGCTGTGTGCAGTGCTAGTATGACAACAGTATAACATTACTAATCCTTTTTAAGTTAGACATAGTATCCAGCCTGTAAGGCATTCTTCTGATATATTTTGTTCCTACTGTATTTCATCATGAGTAAGAAGAAATCTGAAGTGCACTGTATTTGTCACTGACTGATATCAGTCAGACCAAACAACTTATCTTTGTTAACTCAGTGGACTGGCTTGAAAAGTGAAGTATTACTAAGACGTAAAATGTCAGAGCTCAGAGAATGAGAAGCAGGTGGCTGATTGACGTGTGGTTTTGTCCAGGCTGGGGATAGTGAAGCCGGGCCTGACGGAGGATGAGCTCTGGAGGGCCAAGTACATCTATGACTCCGCCTTCCACCCCGACACTGGCGAGAAGATGATCCTGATTGGACGCATGTCGGCCCAGGTGCCAATGAACATGACCATCACTGGCTGCATGCTCACCTTCTACAGGTTTCAACTTTTACCTTGTTTAAACATGTCCTGGTAGCATTTATTTCCTATTTGTTTAAAAAACAGTCAAATTGAACAAGTGCTTTCTCTCTCTGTGGCTGCAACAGGATGTACAGTACTGTACTGTATGTGTCCACTGTGACAGACTGTCAGCACATACAGTCAGAGTGACAGACAGACCTTACCTCTTCCGGGTGAGCTCTTTCCAGGCTCATCTGCGTAAAATTATTTCTCATACTACTCACCCATTTTTCACATACAGTATGCATTAGCCCTGTTTGGAATACACAGACATGACCTCTTCCTCAGTACCTCAGTATACTCTCACTACTACTGTCACCTCTCAGACGCCCTCCAGCACAACCACACAGGAGCGAAGTCCCAGTGCGGGGAATGCTTTCCACACCGACAGCTCCACCGCCATGGCCGTAAGCCCTCCAGGATCCTCGCTCTTTCCCGTTGGTCCCCTTGGGAAGGACTGCAGAGTCCTCTTCTCGTTGATTTCGCTTCTGACTGCCCTCTGTCTCTTGACCAGTACACACACACTTCTTGTGAGCTTTCACACAGACTGTTTCTCCTTTAAACAGGGTTTCCTTCTTCATGAGAGTTTAGACAGGCTCACAGCTACAGCTCAACAAAGCACCAGCTCCCTGCAGCTGTGACAGCCCCTGCTGAGTGACTGTTGCCAGCAGTTTGATCAAAAAGCGTTCCCAATCATATGATTATATGGTTCTCTTTACTTTAGAATTACTGCTGTAATGGGGAATATCAATATCTTCCACAGAGCCAGAGGGACATATTTGGTTTTTCACTTGATTGATTTTTGAATTGGTTTTTGTTATCCTTGACTCTTCCTGTACCCAACTGAAGAGCACACTAGTTTGACAGGGATCGGGCACTGGTGTCACATTTGCTGGCTTTGTTGATGACTGGATTTTAAGAATGAAGAAAAACCCGTTTTTATGTCTGATGAAATTTGAAGCGTGTGGTGCACTTGTTTGCTGTGGCTGTTCCACAAAGAGTGGAAATAGCAGGGCTGTTACCTTGAGGATAAGGGTTACAGAAGGGCCATGACTAAATACAATGTGAACTGAGCTCAAACTTGAGTAAAAGTGATTTTCAACTTTGTTAAAGCATTTTAAGCAACATTACATTTGTTTTATTCCCTTTTTATTAAAAAAGGCAAATGTGTCTTGAAATGAGAATGGTCTTACGGGATATGAATTTTGTATGTAAGAGACTGGATATTTTGCTCAGAGATGGGGAGTCCAGTCTGAAAACTAGCTGCTGAAAGAGCACCAATACTTTGCTAGCAAACTTTGTTTCCAAATATTTTTTTATTTGCGCCTCAGATTTGCTAAGCCAAATCCAGCCACGCAGCCAGTGACTGGTCATCTACACAAATATCCGACACCTTAACGAAATGTTTTGGGGCTTGGTCTTAAATTAATAACATAGTTACATAATGTATTTACCCCTTACAGTGATGTCCCATTTTGTTGAATTAAAGAGGAGGACTGCAATGTGGAAGCAAGCAATTTCTTTATGTACCCTGGGATGTACTGTACATTAACGTGTATGTTATAAAGATGGTCTTCAAAAAAGCTCTTACTGGATTTCTGGGGGGGTCACACAGTGATGTCTACACTTCTTTATATGAGGTGAATCATTTTAATCAAACGTGAACCCTCAAAATGAACACTTTTATGGGAGAAAGAAGTTAAATGTCAGTGAAAGAAAAATTCAAAGCAAAAATCATGACTTGCATATTTCTGTCTCATTGGACCATCTTTTACGAAGTGTAGTGCTATCACCACATACAGTAGTTGTGTACTCTGTGTTGTTATAGACAGTTGTCACATCTACTCTGATCTGCATTGCTTGTTTGTTAGGGAGATCAGGCACTTGAAATCTGGAGACTGTACAGAACCCCTTTAGCCTAGTAATGCTGCTCAGAATTGTGCTCCAGACAGATCTCCTGAACTTCCCACTGGGTGGGGTGCTACTGTATTTGCAGTGCTAGTTTTGTCATGTCATGGATTTGAATAATATTCTTGTGTTGCTAGAAAGAGGCAAAAGATGTTGTTTTGCTGTAGCTTCCTGAAAACAGAAGCACATTTCTCGAACACATTGAACCCATTTTAATAGGTTAAAGAGACTCTTACAGTGACACCCTGTAAGAAGTAAGATGCTGTAAGCCTAGCATGACTTGACTCATTTATCTTCACTCATGCCAAAAGTGTCACAAAAGTAGAGGTGCTAAAAGCCAAACTGGCAGGGCCTTTATAAAGAGTGGAAGAAGCCTGAAGGCAGATTGAAAGAGCACGATGATGCATCTCTTCCTCTCTTCTTCTGCAGGACGACACCCGCTGTGGTGTTCTGGCAGTGGGTCAACCAGTCCTTCAACGCCGTTGTCAACTACACCAACCGCAGCGGAGACGCCCCCATCACTGTGAAGTAGGAGGCTATGATCCCTTCTTGCAAATGTAGCTGCTTGTTTTGTGGAAAGCCCTGCTGGGCGTCTCTCTCCCCCTCTCAAGGGTGACCTGCGACCTCCCTGCTGGGGTACATGAGCTGTCCAGTCTTCAATCACCTGCATGCAGTGGCCTCCTGCTCATCTGTAATGTTCGTGTAATGCACGTTTTTAATGCGTAAAAGCCAAATCCTGTTCTCAGTTCAGGACTTATCTACCGTCTGAGAGCATTCCACTAAGAAAGAATGAGTACTTCCAAGTGAGAATTCGGTGTGGTTTTGGAACAATAACTTGTTGCTCATCACATGCTTGCAAATAAACCTAAAGGTGTTTGTAGCACAGTTACTTGTGCTATTTGCAAAATAACTAAATAAATGGGCACCCTCACAAAACATTTGTGCTCTTGGTATAAGTTTCAGCCTTCTGAACAGCTGCAGTCAAGGCCAGCATGATGCTAAGGGTTAAGTGCTCAGGCACTGAGGAGTTTGATTCACTTCCATGTTGTGCTTGGTGTTGTGTCTCAAGTGTATTATCACTGGGGAAAATGTGCTCATCCACTGATCTCAGCTCATCCCCAGCCCAGACTCAGTTGACATCTCTCTTAGCTGTGCTTCCAGTCCCAAGCCACACAGCTGCTCCTCACCAGTGAATACCACTGCTATGCCTGTAGCAGGAAATCCAGCGCTGTAGGGGTCTGCATCACCATAAGGAACTAACATTAACAGTTTAAGCCTGGCCATCAAACTGCAGGGGATACTTTGTGTTCATGTTGTGAGTATTTTCTATGACTGACATGGTTTGAGAGTCCGATAGAGTTTATGTACATGCTCATTTTCACACCTGTAAAAGCTCTTTAACAATTGGACCTCAAAATGATTTGGTGCCAGTGCACTGGAGATTGGGCCACACAAACATTTCACATTGTGTTTTCATGCCGACATGATTTTTGGGCTGGTTATCATATTCAGTTTTCTGTGGCTTTGTGTCCTGAAGGCCATGGCCTGGAATGACTTTAGGTGTAAGAAAGACCTCCCAGAGCCTCTGGATTCCAGCCTGGATGACCTGGGTTCAAATCCTAGATGAGGTTGCTGTGGTACCATTGACTTTATAAATGTAAATGAGTTTGTTCTCAAATGCTTTATCTGGTAAAATCAACAAAATAACAAAAATGCCAGACACTGATAACATAAATAAAATCATTGGTTTGGCAAAGTGACCCAGATGGACAAAACAAAGCTTAAAACGGTGTTCTGGAGATATTTTTACTAATTAAAATGGTATTAATAGTTACATACAGTACCTGGATATAATATTAATGAAATGGGTGTTTGCATGTAGGGGCAGCAACTTCCTGTAACCGTTTACGTAACATTAGTGTTTTACAGGACAGGGTTGTTAGTCTTGTGCCCAACCTCCAACATGGAGGACCTGGTGCCCGACATGGGACACAAACCCACTACCCTGAGATAATGAGTCTCAAGCTCTACCAACAGAGCTATTTGGGCCACTATTAATGAAAGTATTACTTTATTTGGCTGACACTTTTATAACCTATTTCACTGTAGCAGTCTGAGTGAAGTACCTAGCTCAAGGGTCAATAGCAGTCTCTCACCATGGTCTATTTATGAGTCTATTTACTGCCCACTGCTGCCCACATTATCCTCTTGCTCATTAATTTTTGCTGTGTGACAATCTCATTGATGCTTATTAAAGCACTCACAACTGTGTGTGTTTGATCTTGTTTTCAGAACATTTGTATGGAAAAACGCTGTTAGAATACCGAATTTGTCTTCATCACTACTTTATGCCCACAACATGGCCTACACTACATTCACTACAAATGAATCAAACTGCTGTCCAACATGAGTCTCTTTACCATCTCGTCCCACTAATTTCTTCACACACTCAGTCATTCATGTCACGTTCTTGGCAAGGAGAAATGTGCATTCTGACTTGTTCAGTTTGCACACAGAGTATCCATGGCAGAGCCCCTACAGACATACAGTAGCTAACGTGTCACTTGCTGTGTTTTTCAGTCAGCTGGGAGCAGCCTATATCAGCGCCACAACAGGAGCGGTCCTCACTGCGCTGGGACTGAAGTCTCTCACCAAGGTACTGCGGGGCGGACAGGCCCAGTAAGGCTTCTACACACCGCTCATACTTTCGCATCTCAGAGGTCTCTTCTTACTGCCAAATTCAGCCACGTACAGCTGTGTTTCCTCCTTGTTTGCAAATCCTCTGCAGCTCTTGCGAAATCATTCTTTCTGTGAGTGGGGGTGCAGTGTGGCTGCTGTGTGCTGCCCAGGTGGGGGCTGCACATCAGTGTGGATCCCTTCTATACTGCATGTGCTCTGGGATCATGTGGGTTAAAAGCACTGTATAAATGCAGTTAATCATTGTTAAGGAATGGGTAAAGCCTTATTCCGTGCTGAAAGGAAAAGAAAAGAGACACAACATTTCGGATGTGGAGCCTTCTTCAGATATGAAGCTCCACATCCGACACAGTGTTTCGAAACGTTGTGTCTCTTTTCTTTTCCTTTTAGCACGGAATAAACCTTCACCTGTTCCTTTGCAGCCTGTGCATGCTGACACCGCTACCTACTTGAACTTCTTCTTTAATTATTATTAACCATTAATATAATCTGTAATACTATAACTAGTTATATTACAGGTAGAAGACAAGATAATCCCGATCAGTTACTGTATGCACGCTATTTCTATCTGAGACGATACAAGATAATTCCAAGAAAATCGCTGGTAACACTTGAGTTTCGAGGTTGCAAATTCCATATTAAACCTTGTACTGTATATATCTAATCTGTTAGCTGAACAGTGCATAAACAGAGCATTATTTGTCTGGTCACAACTGATTCTTAACATTGATCAGTTGCATGGTTATTAACTAAATATAAAGATTTTTAAATGCTGAATTTGGGGTTCTATAAAAGCTTTATTGACAAAGTCTTCAGGGTTAATAAATCCCCTAATCTAAGGTGCTGCGCGACCTCCAGGTACTCACTGATCTGGGAAGCCTGCATGTTCATATATAGTTTCTACATGCGCCAGTACTTGTGGTAGTAAAGAGTATTTCAGTGGAACTGTGTGGGCCTTTTGTGGGGTCTTCTTTGACTCGCTCGGCGGAATGGCTGTCAGTGCTCTGGTGCCAGCCCACACTCCTCTCCTCTCCTTTGCTCTCTCCAGCACTTTCCTCCTATAATAAGCCGCTTTGTCCCCTTCGCTGCGGTGGCTGCTGCGAACTGCATCAACATCCCTTTCATGAGACAGAGGTGAGGCTGCTGGGACGGGTTAGAATTAGCTCATCCCTGCGCTGGCGCCCAGGATCCAGGGCCGGATTCGGCAGGGATTTTTCACACCTCCCTGTTTCTTTAGAAAAGAAAATAAGGTTTGGAATAATTTGGTCGTGATCAATTAAACGGGCAAGTCTGAGTACTTGATTAATTGATTAAAAACTCACAAGCAGTCTCGAACTTTAGAAACTTGACCGTGAGGGATCTGTAAGGCTAACTGCTTGGACATACACAGTTGGGGGTTTTAAATGAACATCCTGGAAATCCCTTTAGAGCTCTATGGGAGCCTTTATTAGTAAAAACATTTGGTGCAGCATGGTGTGAATGTAGTTCCCAAAGTGCTATAAGAAATCTGGAGTAGATCAGTTTTGATTTGTATTTGCAGAGAGCTCCTGCTTTTCTCCAGCTACGTATGTCAGACAGCTTGGAGAAATTATAGTGTTTCTTCTTTAGCTTGCACTAAGTCCTTCATGCCCTTTCCCCTTAAATTCTAAGTTAAAATGCAGTACTGTAAAATATACCCCAGCTCCATTTAGAGAGAAATGTACCACTGTACCACTGTAGTTTGATGTGTTTAAATCCGGTGAAGCTTCACTGGGAAAATGAAGGTTTGTGGGATAAATCCCCATGATGTCAGAGGTGCAGAGGCAGGCTAACCAGGGGCAGACGTGCTCATCACTGTCTTCCTCAGGGAGCTAAAGTTTGGGATCCCAGTGACGGATGAGGAGGGGAGGCGGCTGGGAGAGTCCACCATCGCTGCCCGCCAGGCCATCGCCCAGGTGGTGGTTTCCCGGATTGGCATGGCAGTGCCTGCTATGGGTAAGAGCTCCCCCTGGGGGGCAAGTGGTGACACTGCTCTGACTAAGCACTGAAACAGAACAGGGGGTTATTTGCGGAGTGCGTACCTGCCCTGGTATAGCGGTTACAGCGCTTACAAGACAAACCACTTAGCATTGAGTTCAGAGTGAGGCGGATTGCTAGCAATACAACCAAGAGTGGTTGTGTGTCAGACCATTTCTTGAATGTGCCCATTCCCTTTCCTTTAATTTTCTTGGCTTTCATGAAGGCATAATATTTGCAGTGATTTGGTGTAACCATGCCTTTATCCCAAGCAATTTTCATTTACATCTGTTTATATAGCTGAGTGTTTTACTGGAGCTCTCTGATTGAAGGTACTAGTGTGCAGCAGCAGTGCCTCACCTAGAATTTGACCCCAGAATCTTCCAGTTACAAGCCCAGAGCTCTGTCCACCACTCCCCTAAATATATTTAACTGGCAACTGTTAATAAGTCCCATTACAGATGATTGCTGATGAGGTACCGAGATTTGGAAGGCGGGGAGTATTCAGAAAGGCCTGTTTGGACCGGCCATGCCGGTGTCTCAGGGGACCGTGGTTTGTCTCCTCCAGTGTCGGAGCCACTGTGTCCTGCACAGAAGACTGGGTCTGTGCAGGAGCTGGATGGAGGAGTGTGCCTGCTCCGGGCCTGGTGCTCACTGTAACTGTCCTGTCTGAGAGCAAACCCCAGTGAAACATTGTTGCTTTAGGTCTGGGCTCTCTCATCACAGCGCTGCTCCCTTGCTAATTTGTGGACTCCTGTTACACCTATCACTCCTAGCACTGTAGCTATCCAGAACTCCAGTGGTTTCCCACCCCAGTCTTGGGAATTCACACACCTGCTGGCTTCTGTTCCACCTGAGCACTCAATTAAATAATTGAACCCATAATAGACTATGGTTTAATAAGCTAACTATATGTGACTTGTTCGTTTGGTTAAGGAATGTTTGGTTAAGAAAAAGCTCTTATGAAAGCCAGACTGGGAATTCCTGCTGTACACTCACTAAGATACTGCTCCTTTTTTTTCTAACATAAGCAAGGCTTCCCAGTCCATAGCAAATGAAGGAGCTGGACAGTTTCCTCATACAGGAAACTTAGGCTCAGTATTTCTGTTTCACAACACCAAGCACAGAAGGGAGCAGACCCAAACACCAAAGCTATGATGAAAGCTATGTCTTGAGCTCCAGGCAGGGCCTCATGCTGTTGATTGTGTACAGGGGGATGTTTTGGCCCCATGAAGAGAGGTGTTCTAGGTCAATCTAACAGTTCCCTTGTGTTGGAGTGTACATTTGATGTGGTTGAGCTCTGTATTGTCCTTTTATGTTTGCTGGCCGGTAACCACCATCTTATGATTTTATTTTCAGGTAATTAGTGATAATTATAGTATTTCTTCTAGTGGATGAACAGCATATAGGTGTGGCAGCCAGCATTGGTGCCTCACAGTTCCAGGAGGCTGGGTTTGATGGGTCTATGGGGAGCTTGTTCTCCATATGCTGCTGTGGGCTTTTTCCAGTTTCCTTCCACATTTCAAAACCTTGCACTATAGGTTTGAGTGCAAATGGCCCATTAAATTGCCCCTCTGTGACTTAGTTCCTGATCTCCCCTAAGAATGGTGCTGAGCTTCTTATCTCCTCATGTTGCCCTGACAGGAGTGGCTGCGATGCCTCAGAAGTGAGAACTGGCTGCTGTGGTAGATCTATTGGCAATGCCATCACCACTGTGTCCGTGTATCAGGGCTCATGTGGGAGTGCCACATCAGGACGTCCCCTCCAATCCCTATAGCACTGTAGGATCTTTTGGGGTGAAAAGTGTTATATAAAAACATGTATTATTATTATAGAAAATAAATACTGGATCTTAGTTAATAATATGAACCCAGGGCCCCAGTTCTAACCAATGTTTCTTTTTGGAGAGCAATACAGTCTCTCCATCACTGTGTGCTGAATGGAGGGGCACTGAACTGAGATTTTCTGTCCTCTGCCCCTAGCTATCCCTCCTGTCATCATGAATGCCCTGGAAAAGAAAGCTTTCATGAAGGTAAGGGGGCATGGTCTTTCTCCTGTAGATCCACTTAAAATGCCCATTCACATTTCCCTTTAATTCTGTTAGCTCTCATGAAGGCATAAGATTAGCAGTGAAGCTGATTATTTTCATGTAAATAATGATAACTATTTTAGTACTCAATGAAGACACTCGTGCTGTTATACACCATTTACACAGAGATCAGGATTTTATCCTTTAATTGTTATGTAATTGTATATAAGTAAAAGTAAAGCTGCTAAAAGCTGTTTCAAGGCAGGAAGTGATGTCTGCCTGTGTACAACATCAGCTCTGAAACCTGGAACAGAAAGCAAATGCAGCTTTGTTGTTTGCTGAAGAATTTGAGAGGATTGCTGTCTTTAAAGACTGCAGGCCCGGGTGGACCAGACAGTTAATGGAAGTGGGTTGTTTGATTTATTTCAGAGGTTCCCAGTGCTCAATGCTCCGGTTCAGGTTGGACTGGTGGGGCTGTGGTGAGTAAGACACTGTGTTTCAGGTGTGCAGCATGCTTGTGTTTCACAGGACAGGCTTGACAATGCTGTTAATAATGCAGACCCTTTTCTTAAATGGCTACAGAGAACTATTATAAACAGTTCCAGTGTGAGAGACAGGAGTGTATGCAGTCCAGTGTGAGATATGGAGGTGTGTCCGGTCCAGTGTGAAAGATAGAGGTATGTCCAGTGTGAGATATGGAGGTGTGTCCAGTCCAGTGTCTCAGAACAGTCCCAGCATGTCTCTGCTCTTCTCTTGCAGCCTGGTCTTTGCCACTCCACTGTGCTGCGCCCTGTTCCCACAGAAGAGGTAGGTTGGCCTTAAATGTTGTCTATTTGTATCATACTTTTCCTTCCTTTACTTCTTTTTCTATTAAGAAAAACATTCCTACATTAGCTTAATTGGTATCACATTTATTTTATTTGAAGGAGCCAGGTCTCCCTTTAAAGTAAACAGCTGTGATTGTTTTTTAAATTGTATTATGCAGCCAATGAGTAGAAAGTTTAAGACAGCTGACCACACAAGTCTGCTTGTTTGTGGTTTTGCTGAATGATTTGTTTTTTAGAAACTCAATTAGCCTAAACCCTACACAGTCCTGTCATTGTAAGCAAACACGTTTTCAGTTCTCTCACTATAAAAGGTTATGTGTAGAAAAGATACTGCTGCTCTGAAAGCAGTCCAGAGAAGAGCCACCAGATTTCTGGGGTTTAACACTGATGCTGACAGGCTGAAGGAACTGAATCTCTTTAGTCTTGAACAGAGAATACCTGATACAAGTATTCAAAATCCTCTAAGATCACTGACAAATTCAACCCAGAGGTCTTACACAGAATGAAAAATGAAACTTAAACCAGACACAAGTGGAAACTAAATAGAGGTGCATTTAAAACAGAGAACAGGAGACACTTCTTTACCCAGAGGGTTGTGGGAGGCTGGAACAAGCTGCCTAGCTATGTGGTTGAAGCAGATACCTGGCTTCCTCCAAGAGCAGCTGAATAAGATCTTCAGATCAGTTTGATACTGATTACTGAAAAATCTAGATGGGGCTTCTCTCATTTGCAGCTTTTATGATGTTATGTTGAAGCTGTAGTAGCTCAGATGGCAACAGTGTCTAACTCCTCAGTGGAAGGTCCTGGGTTCAATCCCAGGTAGGGGCAAGTGATGTAGCTTACTCTAATTCCTTCCAGACAGTACCTAGGTCCACTCAGCCTGCTTTCTAAATGAGTACTGGGGGTAATAAGCTAGCTGGAGTGTGATGCTGACCACCTCCATGTCCATTGTCAGATGGTTGAGAAAAATGGTGGCCCTTATCCCCCATTCCTTTATGGCCTGAAAAGGGGACCTTACCTACCTGTGATGTTATGTTTCTTATCCTTTGCTGTTTTTCTTGTCTGTGAGATGGTTGCTGAGTGAAACTCACAGCTGTGTTTCTACTTGCAGCTCAATGAAGGTGTCCAGTCTGGAGCCTGAGCTACAGGCCAAGATCCAGGAGGTCAGCCCCCACACCAGCAGAGTCTACTTCAACAAGGGCCTGTAGGAGGGAGACTGTTGGGGGGGTGGGGGGGTGTCTTTACATAAATCTGTATCTTAGTGGGCACAGGTCAGAAGTCATGAATGTATAAATATTTCCAGCCCCTTTTAATCTGGATGATCCCTCTAAATGTCCAAAAATGCTTTTAGAAACAATCTGGAGGCAAAATATTGTTTTTGTAGATTTCAAAAAGAGTGTCTTGAAAAGTCCAATATGGACCATTACTGCGTACAGCAGCAATGCTGTGATGTTTCTGTCTGTTTAGACTCAGGAGATTTGCTAACCACTTTCGTAAAAATGTGCACACACACAATAGACAGGGCACCCTGCGTTGACCTTCTGTAGGTGGTTTTATTGAATGTTTGAGGATTTCAGGTTCTGGGGGTGCTGTTTTAGTGACCAGTTCTCGGGATGCCTAGAGCACTGGGCTCTGCTGTGAGCAAATGTTTGACAGATGAGTGTATGTGTCAGTTTTAATTCTGAAGGTTTATGGTCCCTGTTTTTTCATGTATATCACTCCTTTTGTGCCCCCCACAATGTGGACTTGTGATCAGTGGGTGCCCCGCAAAACCAGCGTCTGGTCATCTGCTCTTTTAGCACCGAAGAACCAAAATATGCAACTTGACGTACGATGGCTTGACTCTTACGTTGCCTGAGTAGGTTTGATGTTTTAAGATGTTTGTATTTTTCTTATTGTTGAATGTCTTGAGGAGAAGCACACCCTTTCACTACAATGCACTGATCCCCAAGGCCCTTACTGCTTCTGACCCAGGGAAGCCTCAGTGGGTGTATTTGCTCTTAGGTAGAAAAGTGACAGAGGAGCGAGGGTTCGAAGGACATGCTGCGGAGAGCACTTCACACAGAGCAACAGTTTCTAGAGTAAAGGAGGAGACTGTTCTAGTCATAACAGCTCTCAGGACTCGGAGGAGTCTTGGACTTTGCATGGAAAGGCTCTGGTCTTTTTGCAGAACAAGTTTAGCAGTGGCTTTGACTACATGCCTGGAGATGTGGCTGTGATCTCACCTGGGCATGTTGCAATCGGTCCAAAGCTATCGAATTGACTTGTTAAATCCTAAACAGTGTTCTGTTTGCCTGCTTTAGATGGGGCATGTTTTTACAGTAGTCAGTATGTGACATGGTTTTCAAGCTCGGAGTGTGTTTGTATGTCTGGTGAGAGCCTAAGAGGGTTTAAGAGAAGAAAAATCATTTGTTTATGAGCGGTTTAGAACAAGCTAACATTTTATTACATACTGATGTTGTTGTAGATTATTCTTTGCTGTAGTGTCATGTTGTGTGTCAGTGATTTATGCGTACAGTATGTAGCTGTGCTTTGATAGGAAATCAGTGATGTCATTTTCTTATTAGACAAGGGTTATGAGGCTATTTTCTCCTTCAAGGCGCATCCAACAGCCTAAGAAGCAGTGACATCATGTGCAATTTAGTCTGACATTTTTAGAAAATCAATTGGTCCTATTTATACTAGTGTAAAACCAACAGTACATAGATGGACATGCTCCTATTATACACAGTACATATATAACACTATATGAAATATAAAAAACTGTATTGCACAGGTCAGCTCAGTATCCCTCAATTCTGCACATTTTCATCACCAACAGGCAGTAATGGAAGCACACTCTTATTTAACACTAATTCCCCCGTTAAGGAGCAACGGTATTTGTTCCTTCTAGTGTGTGAGTGCAGTAAGTCCGTACTGTTTCACCTTAACCTCCTGTCTCTGCCAAGGCGTGGAAGGGGTTGTGTTGACAACGTGTCACTTAGGAGCCTCAGAACAAGGGTAAACAAGACGTTGGTTCTGAGTGAAGGAGATACAGACTGTTACAGTTCACAGCACTTTTTGTTACAGTATCTCTTTGGTAGCTCAGAGATTATGCTTTGCCTAAAATAATTTAATAATTATTCAAGGTTACATTGGTACAATAAGTTCCACTGCTCAAACTTATTTTATCCTTGCTTCTGATTTACGGAGAGCACACATATTGTTCATCTTCTTGATAATTATTATATTTGGGTTCATTTTTTATTGCACTCCTAACCTACCTATATATAATATAGTTTAACATGCAGAGTCTACAGACATCTTGTATCCTTTCTGTTTAAAAAAAATACAGAATGAATGCAAATTTGAATTATTTGCATGTAGATTTTCTCTTTAAGAAAACTTTTACTTCTGTACTGGGTTTGCTCTACTTTCCTCCTAACTGAAACAAACCCTGTCTGAACACCTCATTTAAGACGGAGATTTTATTTCTGTTTTTTCTTTGACACTTTCTTGTGACATTCTTCACGGTGACGTTCTTAACAGCGGAAATTCAAGAGGGCTGCTGAGTGGCTCTTTCGCCACTAGGGGGCGTTCGTTCCTAGCGCAAACGCTACCAGTCTGCTGTGAGCTGGATTCTCCGGCTCACTGCAGGCAGACGGTTGCTACAACTACAGTCGTAAGGTTGGAGTCAGTCAAGGTTGTACTTCCTGATAAGATGGGCTTTCCTCTAAGGCACGTTGACTGCAGCATGAGTGCTCTCACTGTCCTCGTTTGCCATGTGCAGTTTCAGAGTGTCCAACTTACCTAATAACTGCCCATTCCATACTGGAATGAAAAACGATCTGGAAATCCTGAATTCAAACAAATCAAGCCCAGGAATAATGCAGAATTAAAGAGCAACAGCTGGGCAAATTCAATCTGTATATATAGTGTCTGGTTGGTAAAAGTGGAAAGACTGCAGTAGGGACTCTTGGCCAAAACATATTCACACAGAATCTCTTGTACAGTCTGATTTTTACAATTACTGCAGCTTGTGGACGGATTTAACATTGAACTTTTTAACACTGAAAAGCTTCCTGAATCAGCTAAAAAGGTTTGTAGGATTCACTTACAAGCAAGCACCTTTGTAGAATAGAGGTAATTAAATTCCCTTTCTGATCACCCAGTGTATTGTATGTTCCAGTATTTGTTTTCTGGGGTAAATCTCATGTTGCCAAGGACAATCACAGATTCCGCAGTCCGGGCCGAGCGAGATGGGAGCGTGTCCAGAGAAGCTCTTACTGGGCGACAGCTCTTCATCTCAAAGCGCACACTGCTGCTACCTGTCCTGCTCAGCACGCGAGCTCAAGTATGTTTTCCTCTGTATTAAACTGGAGTGTTTGCCTCGCTTTCAGGGTGTAGATTTAATGTAAGTGACAGAATAAAATGTATTTTGGAAAACATTTCATTCTTTGTTTTTTAAAGTTGTTCTGAAACGTGCTGAAAGGAGGGTACTGATACCATATAGCATGGGCAAGGCCCTTAACCTCAACTTCTCCAGGGGTGCTGTGTAAATGGCTGACCCTATGTTCTGACCCCAAGCTTCTTTCCCTGTCTGTGTGTGTGTCTCATGGAGAGCAAGCTGGGGTATGTGAAAAGATGAATTCCTAATGCAAGAAATTGTATATGGGCAATAATCCAATCTGATACTGAGCAATGTGCAGTCAGTAGCAAGAATGAATGAACTTGCACCAGTGTTTCCTCTGTATGCCCTGGTCCTGGAAAACAGGCCATCTGAAATACACTAGGTGAGCTGCAGCATGACTGCATTGACCCACTGACTTAAGTTTTCAATACACACTGCGCTTTTTGCAATCTCTGGTCTCCAGAACTAGAGGGGTACAGACCCCTGTAAAAGAGGATTACATTAGAAACTACAAATAAAGGCTTTCTTGGAGTTTATACCTATACTCCATTAGGTGACTGTCAGGGGGATTTCCAGAGTGGCAGAAGCAGTACAGTTCTGAGCAATGCCAGCGATGGTAATTGAACAAGTTACCCACAGAAAGCCCTCTGATTTGCCAAGTGCCTGTGATCTTGTTTTCACCTGCTCCAATCAATGCTTGTTCTGCTGTAGACCCTGTGGAGTTTGTTACAGTTCCAGGAAACGGGATGAAACACTCTAGAGAGCCACCTGATACTCAGGCAAACTGCACAAAATTAAGGTAAAAAAAAAAGTTGATTCCAGGTTTTGGCAACAAGACTGTTCTTGAGACGAAAGGCTGCTTGAGTAGCAGCTCAGCTCCGAGCAGTGCTGTCTGTGTTGGTCATTTTTCTCTTTGGAATTAAATAAACTGACAGATGGGCGTGTTTGGGACTTAACACATGTAGTTGATTACTGTGTGGAATGCAGTGTTGGCTAAATAAACTCGTTTTTCTAGCCAAAATGTTGATAAAACAGAAAAACAAATGCATAAACAACAGCAGCCCCAGACAGAGACTGTGAACAATCGTCTGATGTCTCACCAGGTAATTGACTTTGCTGTTGGAAAGCAGCAGCTGAAGCACAGCGAGGTTAGTGAATTCAATGTAGTGCACTCCTCTACAGCGATGTTCAAGCCCCTGTCGTTGCCCTGGCAGTGTCTGCATGTTCATCCACACAGGTGTACTTTAATCAGCCAGGATGCTTCCCCGATTACTAAGTTCTTCCAGTCTCCGAAACACATTCTTATTAAGTTCTTACAATAACTAGCCAGCATTTGTTCTAGCGTGTGAGAACAAATGTTCTACATCATCTTCAGGTACTGTATGGGCACCCTGAATTCTCCCTTTGGGATATATGCTTATCAAAGTACATTCTGTCCCCAGTACAGCTTAGACCTTCAACAATTCACCCTTTCACACACCTCTCGACTGGTATTATCAATCCAAAGCAAGGAATTGTGCCAGTTCATCAAAGGGACTCAGTCTTTTGCCACTGCTAGCCCCATTACCTCCACTTCAAAAGCAGGCTCATCACTTCAGTGCTGGAGGCCCAGGACAGTCTCTTCTGCTCAGGGGGAAGCCCAGACCAGAAGAACAGACTTTCAGGATGGGCAGCTTTCGAACTGTGTCCACTGGACATCACCCTAGGACATGATGTTCTTGAACTTTACAATTAGAAGAGACAATTTTCTCCAGAGATCACAGACCTTGCAGGAGTTTTCGACCTTGCTCCAGTGATGGAAATCTCTTCCTTCACAATAACACCGATGGAAAGTACCACACCCCTCTTCTTGGCCAGCATGCCATATCACCCTGCAACTCACAACTGGCAACCCACTAAAGCTCAGCAGGTGTGAGCCTGGTCAGTACCTGGATGAGAGACCTCCTGGGAAAACTAAGGTTGCTGCTGGAAGAGGTGTTAGTAGGGCCAGCAGGCGCCATCCTTCAAATGAGATGTAAAACCGAGGTCCTGACTCTCTGTGGTCATTAAAAATCCCAGGGCGTTTCTCGAAGAGAGTAGGGGTGTAACCCCGGTGTCTTGGCCAAATTTCCCATTGGCCCTTACCAATCATGGCCTCCTAATAATCCCCCTCTCTGAATTGGCTTCATTACTCTGCTATCCTCCCCACTGATAGCTGATTTGTGGTGAGCGTTCTGGCGCACTGTGGCTGCTGTCGCATCATCCAGGTGGGGCTGCACATTGGTGGTGGTGGAGGGGATTCCCCATTACCTGTAAAGCACTTTGAGTGGAGTTAACAGAAAAGTGCTATATAAGTGTAAGCAATTATTATTATTATTATTATTATTATTCCTACCTGGATTGCTGCACCAGTTACTGTGGTGTTTATGTGTGCTCTGGTTTGTGCCTGTGCTGTATATTGCAACCATGTAACCTACTGTACATGTCAATACTGCTCATTACAACACAAAGTTCAGTGAGCAATGTTTTAGGGATGCCAGTAGTCACAATGCGGTTTGAGATGAGTTATAATTTGTAATGAAAATTGATTTGAGAAAAGAGATTTTTATGGTCCGAGTACAGCCATGGTCACCCTATGTTATTACCATGAATGAGTGACGATTACCTTCATATTGGAACCAAAGAAAATGTAGCACTTATGGCACAGTGGCTATTCGTGATAATGTTATCCCAGCATTTCAGTTATTTCTAAGATGTCACTTACAACAGTTATTTCTGCCATGTCGTATTCAGCAGTTTTGGTTTAATATCCATTCACACCAGGTCAGGAGTAATGACCCCAGGACAAGGTCAATACAATACAAATATAATGCACAATCAAGGCAGGAAAGATACTGAATATAAAACAACCTTGAAAACAAGGAAGCCTAAATAGCTGTGGCTCAGTCTTAATGCTAGGAGGCTGTGTTGTGGGCTGTTACCAGACCAAAGGAAAACACACAGACAGACAGCTGAATGCTTGAATCAGGTTTTGTTTTATTATTAAAGGATCTACATTGGCAGGCCCCCAGGTGGGCTGCCCTGCTGTGGCCTGTTAGTCAGGTACTGTAGGCATCAAGCCTGCTCCCTCAGTGGAGTTTATAAGCAGGCTATCATGAACACATTGCCATAACCACAGCGCCAACCTGGCTGGACCAGCCTGGGGAACCCTACCCATCGCGCAGTCTGGAGCAGAGCATCAGCTTCCAGCGAGAACACTGCACACTGGTGCTCAGATCGAACAGCATGGACAACCACCACCCTCTCTGAGAAAGAACACTGTATATGCATCTCAAACCAATTTAAGTCTGAAGCATTAAACTTGTACAGTGCACCTAATGAAAGAAAAACAAAATCTGCATAGACTGAATTTGCACCTATTTGTGTTTTTTAGCCCCGCAGTAAAGATTATCGGCTCTAAAATCTATTGTCCTCAGGGTCCTGCTTCACTGTGGTCATCTGTTTATTCAAAGCAGAACTCAAACGAAGACCAAAAATGTAACTCGCCAAACAGGCACATGTTATAGCATTCTGAAAAAAGCAGGATATAACACTAAATGGAGAAGGACAGACACAAGTATTAGTATTTAATACTGCAGAGCCAGACTATTCCATTTCCTACATGACTGTTCACCCTACAACTGCAACAAACAGAATTACTTATAACATTTAATTGTGCAACTTCAACTTCCGTGCAGAATTTGTAACTCCCCCATTTTTTAATGAATGTGTCAGCTAAAACTCTAGCTTGAGCACGCGGCAAACCTATTTCATAGCGAGTGCACAAGTTTCTTCCTATGCACCTATTTCTGGGCTTGGACATTCTTGGCAGCCTCAAGCACAGACGTGATGTTAACTTTATCCCCAAACTCCTTCTCACGGTGCTCCAGCAGGATGCCCTGTTAACAAGAGGAGAGAACATTTCACCCCACTGCACCTTTCTGCCAGGGACCGACTACAGAAAAAAAAGATACAAACTCAAATCCTTTCCCCACCCATCTCAGGACTTCTGCTTCACAGGTGCTGTGCTTGAGTACTGACTGACTTTTTAAGTTCTCGTACCTTCAGCGCACAGACCTGATATCGACAATCATAGTTTTCTTGTGCATCTTGTCCACATGAGGGAGCTTAATTCTGAATGATTAACCTGGGGAGGGTTAAGGAGGACAAGCAGGTGATCTCGGGCGATTTTGTTTCTCTTCTGCTTTCATTCCAGGTCACACTGTAGGAGACTCAGTGTGATGTAAGAGTGTGTCACCCAGGCTCTTTGTATTTCACAACACATGTTGCCAGAGGCTAGGGCTGGATCAAGGTCCTTGCATTTTTAATGGGTGTTAATTTCCTTGTGTAGTCCAGTAGTCAAAATTATGTTTAATTTTTTTTTTTCAGACAGCCTATCCTGTATGTACATATTTATCCAAAATCCTTTGTATTCAAGATCTTTATAATACAAATATTATTATCATACAAATAAAAGAACATGGTCAGAAATTTCTTCAAAGGACCTTTAGTTTTCAAAAGCCCTAGGCACAGTGTCTGCTGTGTCTCTTGAATAATATGGCCCTACTAGAAGCACAGAGAGAGGCACAGCTCGAAGACATTTCAAAACTGCTTCAGAATATGGACGCAGGAAGGAAACAAATTGGCACATGTTAATGAACAAGAAAATACCATTGAACAATTTCTGTGGTGGGAGAGGAAGCAATGAGTCCTTATAAAACCCTGTCATACCTGCTTCCCAGCTCCAATGACGAAGACTCCTCCAAGAACAAAGCCTTCTCCGGCCACGTTTCCTACGAAGCCCTTCTTCCAGGCTCTGAGGAAGCTGTGCAACACGCCCAGCCGAATGAGCCCGGTCAGGCCCATCCGGCGCTGCTGCGGGCCATAGAACCGCCGCTGTGAAAGATAAGGGACACGCCTGCGTCACGCCAGCCCTCCACACTGCCCAGCTGTCTCGTCTCTGTAGTGCTGCTGTGGGGGTCCCGGTATTTATTTGTTCCGATTTGTCAACGTATTTTGTGCTAAAATGACACACTCATATCCTTGGAGTCAAGGCCTGCCAGCCAAAGAGCGAATCCACTCTGACCAAACATGAGTTTCACACTGGCTTCGATTGGAGAGCTGTGGCAATGTTCGCTGGCTACAAAGGAACAAATAAAGGTTAACAGAAGCCAAGATCATCTTAAACTTGGATCAAACCTTTGGACACTCTTTCTCTGCCACTCTGTCCTTCTGTGCTTTATCTCCCAGCCTTCCCTTCCTTCACCTGAAGAAGGTGCAAACATCTTCTTTTCTTCTTTGTACTTTTCAGAGTGGAATTAACTTTTACTTTTTACTTAGTTTTCACCTTCTCTGCATAAAACTCCTCTGACAAAAAATAATTTCCTAAGAGACACATTTCATATGATATATATTTTTTTAACAGTTCATACTATGACAGCAGACAGGTGTAGTTGGACTTGTACATTCACTGGCCACAATACCCAGAACTCAGATGACCACATTGTCTCAGTAGCAGGTACAGTAACAGGCAGCTGGCTGTTTTAAACAGACTTCCCATCACCCTCCCTGCCCAGAACAATCCCCGGATCTCAGTCCTCTTAATCCTGCGGAACTGCAGTGTAGGGTTGCAAAACTGTCACAGCGCAATTCAGTGAAGTGTTGAAATGAGTTTTAAATTTAGTTTGTTACGAAAGCTGACATTCTCTGGAGAACCCACAGGAATGCTTTTTCCTGTAATTGTCATTTTGTGGATGCATTCCAGCATTTTCAAGGTTTTTTTTAAAAAAATCTGAGTACAGCCCCAGTCAATCTCAAGTGTTGAAACAAATGGGTGTACAGGAGGGATCCCTGCATATTCATTAAAACCCATACAAAGATTTCCACGCGTGGCACAGTGGCTATTTCTGATCATTGTCATTTCATGCCTTTCAGTTAGTCCAAAATGTCTCATACAACAGATGTCTGCCTCCCTGCAAAGAGCACATTTTGAATGAACCCTCTCAAGCACACAGATCAGATTCTACAGCTGGAACACTGGGCTCAGTCCCCACACAGTCACCCTCAACATGACTGGGCTGTGAATACTTCACTCTTTATCCCTTGTCTGGTAAAACCTGTTCGAGCTGCTCTCTCGTCTTGAAGAGCCCCAAAACGTTATTCAGCAGTTTCTAATATTTTGATGGCTCCATCCTCCCAGGGTGCACCCCTCACCTTCTCATCCAGGAAGATCTCCCCCTTGAAGTGAGGCCTGAAGTCCCTGATCTCGCTGCCGAGGTTCTCCTTGACGACAGCGTACAGGGGGACCCCGAGCTCCTCCAGCTGGGGCTTCAGAGAGGACAGCTCTGCAGCCTCCTGCAAGCACAGCACAGCTGACCCAGGACCGACCGCCACCCCCTTGCAGGAACAAGTTCATCTTTTGGAAGGGGGAAGGGGGCAGTGGCAAACCGCTGTTGCCAGACCTGCTTGAAGCTCGGTTTCTCCCAAAGAATTAAACACATTCCGCTGCAGGCTTGTATTTTTAATGATGCTTAGCACTGACAGTGTAAGTATTTTGCCCTACGAATTCCACTCAGTCCTTCATGGAACAGGGCCAGAGCTGTGTGCAACTCAAATTGCACAACTAAATATTGCTCACTGTGTTACTCTTTCTAGAAATAATTGTTAAACGTATTGCAGAAGTTCTGTACCAAATATAGCACTATTTTAACTTAAAATATATGCAGCACCCTGCATAATTGTTCAGACCCTTATGCGGTTTCCACATTTTGTTGCTTTAAAGCTTGCAGTCATGACACATTGAAGTAGCAATTAATACTTCCTACACACACAACCTACACCACATATTCAAAGCAGTAAACAAAAAGAACTGCAGGCTATGAATAAAAAAAGACCATGTTAGGCAGGACAATACCTCTCTGCACAAAAATCATCCAGGCCGGCGGACAGCCATGATCACAGCTCCTGTCCTGTCCCACAGCGTTTTAGCTTTAAAGGTCACCTCATCTAGAGCAAGCAAGAAGAGAGCAGGGTTCAAGACAGACATCTTTCATTACCAGGTTATTACACATAGAAGCAAAAAATAAAGGATATTTCTGTAGACTCACATAAGAGATGACTCGTTTCCTTTTTTTGATTCAATTAACACAGAGGGATGTGTGGGATTAAAAAGGATATGCTGTGATTGTAACTCCTGACTGCAGTGTGAACAAGAGGTACAGGTACTGTAGCAGCTTCCAAGTCCTGGAAATGATCAGGGTCCACAGGGGCTCTTACCTTCCCCCAGTGTTTTGAGGTCGGTGTCTTCCAGGTAATCCAGGCTGGCCTGGGCTGGCTTGGTTAGCAGCAGGTCAGTGTTCGCCAGTAGGATCCCAGCAACGGCAGCACCCAGTGCCCCCAGTCCCACAGACCACATTCCCATTGACAGGAGCTCCCCCTCCAGGAACCAGAGCATCACTGCAACATAAACACAGAGCTACTGGGTCACCAGGCACCAGACGTCCAGCTGACTGAGGAGATCTAGGCAAGAGGCAGTAAAGAGTTTCTCATTCTTGCCACTGAAAGCTGGTGGGCATTTGCTGGAGGTGCAGTTTTTCTGGGAACCAAGAGAGCCCCACTCTGTGTGTCGCAAGCTGTTGCTAAAGGAATCCAAGGCCCAGCTGACTACCGCTCTAGCCAGGCTCACTGGCACTATACATTCACATGTGGCCTGTAACTAGTCATATGTCTGACAGTATCAATGGCACAATACACAACAAGGCTCTCAGAGCTACTGTAAGTACTGAAGACTGTCGACAGCACACCAGGTCTCTTTTAAAGCCCTGTGTAAGGGCTTGTCAGTAAGATAAAGAGCTCACACTGAGAACTGACCTTGAAGAGCCTGGTTCCGGGTAGAGCACTTCACAGTCTCCCTAGGTTGTTCAGCCAATACAAACAAGTGCACAGTAAATAAGTCTACTCTTTACCACAGTAGGCAGTTGGCTGCATTTCAGTAACTTGATATTTCCTTCTAGACAAAGCATGGACTGGGATCTAGTCCTTATTGTGCTTTAACACTGTGCCCTCTGTAGTTTAAAGGCATCTACCAAAGGAATGATCCATGGTAATAAAACTGTTGCACTGAGGTGTCTGACATGATTTTTTGACCAAAATCAGATAAAGTCAGATACAAATCAGTATGAACGCAGTGTGTTGTGTCATGACCGGTTTGTTTATCACTTCTCCCTTCTCACACAGAGAACCAACCACCATCTACTCGGCATGCAGACTGCAATAAAGAGCTTAAAAGAATGTCCTGCACAAACCAATTTAAAATAACTGAGGATTTTAAACATTGAACAGAAAAGACTAGGATTCATTTTAAACTATTCTAAATCCTCAAGTGCACTGACAAAGTCGACCTAGTGGCAGAATCAACAGTGAAACACAAACCAGAGGATACAAGTGGAAATGACACAAGTTCATTCAAAACTGAGAATAGAAGGCTCTTCTTTACACAAAGGCAAAAGTTACCAAGTAAGATCTGATACCCTGTCATCATTATAGAAACTGGATTAGATCCTAAAATCAATTTAACTACAAAATGTGATAGATATGCTAAATAACCTCCTCTCTTTTGCAATTTTATGCTGCTCATGGTGAAACTAGCATGTACAGAGCCCTCCAGATTTTCACAAACCCTACTGTGCATGTTTTCACACAGCTGCAAGCTGACAACGGGAGGCAGACAGTGCAGAGTCCCTGGAGATAAAAGCTGCTCTTGTCCGCTGGCTCTGACCATGTCTGATTGTCATGATTGCGAAGTGGTGAGAGTTGTGTAAAACCTTGGCAATGTTCTAGTCTTAGATCTTTCCACAACAGCTGGAATCAAGTGTCGGAACAAGGAGCACAGCTTAGTACTCCATCACGCCACCTCATCAAGGAAGAAGAAGCTCTCTGAGCAGAATCCAACATGTTGACGAACTAAAACACGCTCCCCTGATATGTCAAACTGTTTATTTTCTTAATTAAAGGAACTACTTTTATTAGCATACTTAACTACTACGGAACTATTGTATTTTATAGAGTGCACACCAATATAGAGTACATACCACAGTCAGATTAATGCACATAACAGCTGGCCACGTATGATCACTGCCCTCTTATACATTAACCAATCAGGAAATACATCAGTATTCCAGCTTTTTGATCTAAGTTATAATATGAAGTGGCAAACAAGTCCGCATTTGAAAAAATGATATTACTATTTAGTTTCACAGGGAATGACAACGCCCCAGAATCAAAGCATGGTGAACTATTGTGGAGTGAATATCTGGCTTAACCCGCTTGGCTGAGGGCCGACCTCCTGGCCATAGGACGAGGAGGCCAGGAACCCCCCTGGTAACCAAGGTAACCAAGGGGCAGCTGCAGAGGTAGAGTTGGGGTGGAGGTGAGATGCAAAAGTCGCACGCGAGGGAGAGAGAGATCGCATTTGGTATTTATAGCATTTGGTGAGGAAGGACGAAGGGAGTGATTGCTAATCGCTGACAGCTGGGGATGATTGAGCGTGGTTGTTGGCTTCCCTCCCGAACTTTAGTTAAATAAACTCCATTTAAGATAGACTGCTATTAATCTATAAGGCATTTTTTCAAAACTGTTAGAACACCACATCACAGAGAACATTGTCTAAACCAGTAACACTTTATGTTGCTGTTGTGTACTACTTTTGTAAGTTTACATATTTAGGTAGCTAACTATTGGATTTCAATTTTATAACCATTTTTCTGCTAAAATAGTGCCGTGGACTTGTACTGTTGAAGGAAAGAAGAGAATAAATTATGAGATAAACACGATATGTTGAAAACATTGGATATTGATACATTTCCTTGGCGATTCTGCTGTTAATTAGAAGAAACAGATGGTTTCAGAGGGTCACACCCAAACAAATATCTCGGATAAGCAGGCTTCACTAGTGCCTCTGTCACTAAGAATCCTGCACTATACAGCCTTTGACCTCTATCATTCCATCTGTTTTCAGTACGTGCTTTACTGGGGAGCCTAAAAGTCCATCCAGTCCTTTGCAGAGAACACACACAATCATATGAGGTGCAATTTAGAGACATCAATCACCCTGAAAAAATGTCACTGGGATGTGGGAGGTAACTGGAACACCTAGAGGAAATGAGGTGTGGAACAAACAGAGAACATACAAACTCCACACAGAAGGTGTCCCAAGTCAGAACTGAACCCAGGAGCTGTAAAGCAGATGGTTATTCACCTCACCTCAGTGCTACCTCTAGCCCTCAACAAATAAACACTGGTAAGGTATAGATATGGTTTCAATCGAAACAGGCATCTGCCAGAACCAATTATGATTAGACAGCTCTAAAACTCCAGTAGAATCAGAAAGGCATCCAGTCAGCTTACAAAAGGAATTTTGTCTTTCTGTATCATTGTAACATAAATCATCACTTCTGACTGCGGAGCTTTATGAAAAGAGCTGCGTTCTTTTTCGGACCTCTGCACTACTTATGTGAACACTAAAAAAGTACGGTGAATGTCTTAGTAAACATTGTTTCTTCTCTTACACTGAAGTGCTGTACATATTAAGCTGGTGAAAATCTAGAACTGGCAAAATAGGTCAAATGAGCCTATAGATTTTTCAGTTTTTACACCTGACCTCAATAGCTCACAACTACAGTTAAGTTAAATAAGCAACGAAAGAGGAGCACAGCCCAAAACAAAGCAGTGTCTGTGGCTTTTTGAAGTTTAAAGTGTTAGTCATCTTCACACAACAAATGCAATCCTGTGTTAATGAGCTAAAGCACACTTCCCTGATATATCAAACTATATATTTGTATAACTCTTTTAATAAGGAACTTCTGTAATTTATATTTATATATACATGTTTGCCGATAAAACAGCCCGTTAATTAATATATTTATACACTATAATAGTTAAAACTCCCCAGAAGAGCATGACAAATTATTAAAACATGGAAAAGAATAATGTTAAAGCTCTGTCTGTATACAGTAAGTATGAAGTCCTCTATTGTGTGTGATCTGAAGAAACTGAAAGATTAAACATAACTGAACAAGCATCCTACCAAGACTGCAAACGATGAAAAGAAACACAGGGAAGTTACAATAATAATCATTATGTGTAACCAAAGCAGAGGAACCAGATCATACTGACTTCCAGTAACAGGCGCGTCCCAGTTCCTCAGAGAAGAAATTAAGATTCTCTTGGCTTCAGAAACCGTTATCTACAGAAGCACATCCAGAGGACCAACCCTGCTGCACTGCAATGGCAGCCTGAACATCTGAACAACAGCCAGCGAATGGCCCAGATGTGCTATGTAAACAAGTGGGATTTGCATAAAACAAACACCAGCCAATAAGGGTTCTGGCTGCGTTGCCTGGGGGCGTGGGCAGCAAGGTTCAAACCAATGAACACACTGGTTCAGTTCAGCCACTTTGCTGGGAAGCTGAAGAAGAGCTGAAGAAGCATTGCATCAGGAGCTGTCAACGTGGTGGGGAAGTCAGCTCTTCTATAGCCCTTCAGTTTTAATATTGCTCATTATGGCATGGGACAAAACTAAACAATTTATTATAACATGGTGATCTGAATTGGAGTGCTAAATGCTTCACACACAAATTAAAAAATATCTCAGATTAAACGTTTTGTGACAAAAACCATCAAGTTAATATTTGTGAGTTCTGTTCCCAAATAAAACCAACATCTGACTGATTTTCATTTCATTTTAAAATGTATTTTGTGAGGTATAACTTCTAATATCAGCAAGACCCCTAATTAAATCTCTTACAGCACCAGTGGTACCTTGGCGTCAGAGACATGGAACAGTGCATCATCTGTACAGCTGTGAAATGTCATGTCCTGTTTAATAATGTGTAGTAATCTCAGAGAGCAGAATTATGAATAAAAAACTAAAGTGGGCCCTAAAAGGATCCCTGCAGTACTCCACATGCATTCAGTCCTTGCATAATGATCAAAGAAAATTGGTTTCTTTCTGATTTAACCAGTCTGAGCAAGCCACATTCAAATTAGAATCGCTTCTTGACATCTAACCTTGAAAATTTAGCAGAGGAGGCTGCAGTACTAACTTCAAGAGAGGAAGAGGGATTGATTAATCTATCATCTGTTGAGAGAATGACTTTGGTGCTTTTACTTTTGTATAAAATACATTTAGAAAAACAGCCACCACACAGGCACTCAATTAACAAAGCATTTAGGTGTTAAAAATGATAATAAGCAATTGTTTCAATTAATAAAATTGGAACCTTGAAAATGTTTTCCCCTGTTTTGCACACCAATGGTGAGAAAATGTAGCACTATTCAGGTTTAAACAGGAAGTCAACTTGAAACTGACTACAATGATAAATGGTTCTCTCTTTCCCTCTGGGCAAACCATGAGTCACAGAAAACTGTTCTGAAACAGTATTAACACAATGCTTGCAGATTATCTGGCACATGAGGGAGATTAGTTTCAGAATGCCACATGGATGGGGAATTTTAGGGAAATTACCAAAATCATCATAAACTGATGAAATCAGAGCACAAGTCTCCCTGTAGACGTTAATCACATTGAAGTACAAGTATGTGTGAAAGAAGAACCAGTCACAACCAGACACAAGTGAAAACTATGGGGAAGTGCATTTTAAAGTGAGAACAGAATGTACTTTATTACACAAGCTGTTGTGGGAGTATGATGCCCTGGAATATATTATTTAAAAAACTATAAACGATTCAATATGTTTTGTATGTAGCATACAAAGCAGCCATATCACTCTGCAACTCACAACTGACAACCCACAGAAGTTCAGCAGGTGTGAGCCTGGTCAGTAACGGGAGTAAGGTTGCTGCTGGAAGAGGTGTTAGTGGGGCCAGCAGGGGGTGCTCACCCTGCGGTCTATGTGGGTCCTAATGCCCCAGTATAGTGATGGGGACACAATACCCTAAAAAGGCGTCGCCCTTCGGATGAGAGGTAAAACCAAAGTCCTGACTCTCTGTGGTCTGTGGTGATTAAAAATCCCAGGGCGTCTCTTGAAAAGAGTAGGGGTGTAATCCCAATATCCTGGCCAAATTTCCCATTGGCCCTTACCAATCATGGCCTTCTAATAATCCCCATCTATGAATTGGTTTCATTACTCTGCTCTCCTCCCCACTGATAGCTGATGTGTGGTGAATGTACTGGTGCACTATGGCTGCGTCACATCATACAAGTGGGGCTGCACATTGGTGGTGGTGGAGGAGAGTCCCCATTACCTGTAAAGCACTTTGAGTGGAGTGTCCAGAAAAGCGCTATATAAGTGTAAGCAATTATTAATTATTATTACAAATGTCCAGATTTTGTAAATGGTGGTGGCAGCATTAAAGCATTTTGTATTAAAAAGACTAAATGTACTGTATACATTAGGGGGATTTTATGTAGTATTTGCACAGAAACAAATTGTTACAGTACACTGCACGCATTTTATTGAAATATTCTCTCATTTCCCCCACACCATCTCCTTCATTCATGTCTGTCCAGTCTCTGTCCTTCACAAGAGAAACTAGAACAGACGAAAGGCACCTGACCAAATAGTGTTCATCCAGTAACGCACATAAATGCAAAAGGCGTCACAGAGGACAGACCTCTAGTTTTACTTCCGATTACATCAGATGTGACCATTTGAACTGCAGGTGCTTTTCTAACAACATAGAAGCACAAAGATCATATTTCCCACTTCGAGCTTCATTTAAACAAAAACCGCTCAGGTCAAGCCGACACTTCTCAGCTCTTTATGCACTGTATGATAGTCTATCTTGGGCATACTGTAGCTGTGCATTTCAGTCAACTGCAAAACGAAAGGTCGAACTCCACCGCACTGCAGGGACTAACCGACACCACCGTTTTGTTCTTCAGATAGAACATTTTGTTAACACACAACGCTATTAATACCAATTATCAGCTTTCTTAAACCTTTCAGAAGTGCACCGTATTACTGACATCGATTTCACGAACACATTTCATTCAATTTGTCACGATGAGAGCGGCAATGCCATATTCTACTATGTTATAACTCAATATACAACTGTGCTACGAGGCAAGCCAATCTACAGACAGCTAACTCAATTGAGTTACAGGACAGAGCACCGGATCTTCAAAGAAACATTACATTTTCCTTATACTACAGAAAGCCTTATAGAACTCACACTGTAGTACCCCTTGTAGAAGTGTCAGAGGATCATCCTTCGCAGGCGAAGCGCTTGTGTAACTATTGTACAAGAGAAGCTACACAAGCTCCTAGTCAGCCGAAGGCACAAGATGCGATTCAGATCAACGGATTGCACCGGCAGCGCTAGGGAAATTAATCAATCAGGAGAAAACGATTAAAAATCCTATTTTGACATTTACAGTAAACAATGTGGCAAAATATTAAGAAAGGTATCTTCTTAAGTTTATATAAATAAAAGAAGGTACTTTAAATATAAAAATGAAAACATTAAGGGAAGTTTAAATGAATACATAATAGGTTTCAATATACAGTACGTTGCAAAGGAACAAGTAATACGTTTATTCCATAATGAAAAGAGAAGAAAACAGAACGTTTTGGCTGTGGAGCCTTCTTTGGGTGTGAGCACCCAAAGCCTTCCTTACACCCGAAGAAGGCTCCACAGCCGAAAAGCTGTGTTTTCTTTCTTCTCTTTGCAGCATGGAATAAACCTATTACCCATCTGATCTCCTTCAATATATGTTTATACAGTTCATAGTATATTCTCTCCGTGCTCTTGTGATAAAAGTAATAAATAATTGCTTACACTTATATAGTGCTTTTCTGAACACTCCACTCAAAGCACTTTACAGATAATGGGGATTCCCCTCCCCCACCACCAATGTGCAGCATCCACCTGGATCATGGAACATCAGCCATAGTGCGCCAGTACACTCACCACACACCAGCAGTTATCAGTGTTAGTGGGGAGGAGAACAGAGTGAGGAAGCCAATTCATAGATGGTGATTATTAGGAGGCCATGATTGGTAAAGACCAGTGGGAAATTTGGCCAGGACGCAGAAAATCATAGGGACTGAGCTACCCTCCATTGATCGGATACATCTTGACCGCTGCCACAACAGGGTTCGAGCTATACTTTGGGACGCAATTCACCCTGGCCATGATCTGTTTTCACCCCTGGGTTCTGGTAGGAGGTATCAGAACACTGACCAATAGATTCAAAAATAGTTTCTTGCCCCAAGCAGTCCGCATCATAAACAGCTCAAATTAGCACCTGCGCTTTAAAGTACTGCATTATGATGTCCTGTTGGCTGTATTCTAACGTCTGCTTGTCATTTGTGCCTATTTTTTTTCTCTAATGTTACCTGGTACAGCTGAATGAGTAAACATTTCAATACACTTGTTGTATATGGCAAATAAAGAAATCTTGAATCTTGAGGTCTCCTATCCAGGTACTGACCAGGCTCACACCTGCTGAGCTTCAGTGGGTTGCCAGTTGTGAGCTGCAGGATGATATGGCTGCTGATAGACCAAAAGGACCGCTGGACTAAGGTCTATAACTACCTCACACTCCTCCTGAGCACACACAATAATATGGCCACTTATAGCCACACGGGTGGATCATTATGTGCAAGTTGTCATTCAAGGGTATACCAAGAAAACAGTCCTTTTTGCGCTGCTGTGTACTGCTGTACAAGAAAGTCTTTGGAACAATGCACAGAAAGTGTAGGTATTGCTTGGTAAATAGTAAAATTTTTATTTAGCAAACTAAACTATACTTTAGGCCAGGGTTTACTTCTAAAGAACTTCTTGTGCTGCAGTACTCAGATAGAGGGGGAAGCTGGAGGGAGTACTTTTCCTGTTAAACTATTGGAATGCCTACTTTTATTAACAAAAATCTCACATTATGCATGTAGAAAAACGTACCACTGTATGTATAAAAAAGTATGTAGAAAAATGCACTATGTACAAAAAACCCTATTCAAACTATGGTTAACAGGAGAGTATTGGGAGTGTCCTCAAGTGTGGTATTATAGTGTGATTATGCAGCAGCTCGTTGTCTGACCAGAAGGCATTACAGGGGGTGATCAAGTCAGCCTTGTCCATTATTGGAGTACAGCTCCCCTTTACTGCGGACATTTTCACAACTCAAGTACAGTAGATAGCTGCGTCAGCATGAATAGGCTGCAAAGGAACAAGTAAAGGATAATATCATGCTGAAGAAGAGAAGAAAAGAATACAACGTTTCGGCTGTGGAGCCAGACACCCATAGAAGGCTCCACAGCCGAAACGTTGTATTTCTTTTCTCCACAGCTGAAATCTACCCCTACCATTGACTCGTTGCTGCTGCTGTTCTGTGTTTATGTTTATGGTGATTCCTTGTTGTCTTTGTAATGGAGCTTACATGCAAATAAGCATTTCATTGCACGTGTGCATATGACAAATAGACTGAACAGTCTTCAACTGAACAAGAGAAACAATTATTCAATGTAGATATGAGTATTAACTGTCTTTAGACAGTACAACAGTTTATTCTAAAACTATAAGCATCACTGGCAGAATGTGCACAGATTTTAAAATATATGGATTTTATACATAGATATACAGTATGCATAGACATACATACATCTATAATAAAGATTTGACAGATATATGTATTTAATGTAAAATAAGTGATTCACTAATTGATTCATTTTGGTAATGCTGGAAAGTATGTACAGAGTGGGTACAATTAGAAAGCTGGCTATCCTCCACTCCACTCAATTTTAGTACCAAGTATGGAGGATTGGAAATCTTATTTACTGTATTAATTTAAGAACTATAAAAAGTTGGGCAGTGGAAAGATATAGAACAATACAATTTAAAAGTATATGGGGAGATATAAAACAAACTTTGGATGAAATTTGAATGTACGGATTAGTAAGGGGTAGAGGAAGTCAATAATTGTATTGTGGTTATTGTTGTGATTATTTTACTATGTAGTAAGTTGTTATTTTTATAATGTATGTTTCTGTGTATTTTCTGATATTTATATTTGCAAATGTTTTTTCTCAAATATTTAAAATGATAAGAAACAATGTTTACAGTTTTGATACCGGAGGTGCTGACCATGTCTTTTGCAAGGCATTAACATGTTTACATATTGTGTGGAGACCAATAATTGTGGTCTGCAGGACCATTCTTTGTACAGACCTGGTAGCTAAGACCCTGATGTTTTCTGTGGGATCACTAATGAATACCCCACACATGGCCTAATGTTGTTATACAGTATCTAGCAATTGCCCGGGAGATGGTTGGATTATGATACACAATTAATTTTCCTTCTGTTGACTGCTGTGGCCTAGGACTATCTAACATAAAGCCCCTGCCCTTACCAGATACTTGGGCAGATAACTTGGCTTAGACAGCTAGTCTATTCCAGAGAATCTTGACATTTAGAGGTTACAGTCCTTTGGTAACCATCTGCTATAATAGCACACTGGTGCAAGTCCTAGGCCATGGCTTGTAAGGTTCAGAACAAACAGATAAGTAAGTGTACTTTGTAATTATGGGAGTGAATTTCCTCTATGTACTGTATGTGTGTACTTATATACACACATAAACATATTACTTTAAACAATGTATTACAATCTTTAATGTACTACCTGTGTTGCCCTGAACAGTAGTGAAGAAGAAATAATCAAACACAAGGTTTTTCCAACCATGACAGCTACAAGCATGATTCCACTGATTTTCTTGAGGTAACCCTGAAAGAACATTGCCATCTCACTTTTTTAAATGACAGCAAATCAAAAGTATAGCTTGGAAAAGAACATACCTAAAATAAAACTTGATTCGCAATTTTTAATCTTTTAAATTACTGCAGATATTTTCACAAACAAGCATAATGTGACACAAAGAAATATAGGAAAAGTGGGTCATTATTTGCTGTACATGTATGTTTAATCTTTTGTGGTATCATGGAGATCTAAAGATTACTAAATATGAAGACAATGAAGATATTGGAGATTGCATCAATACGGCAATGCTTTATTCTTTATTTTTGTCCATCTTCAACTTCCTCCTAAAAGATAAAAAAAATAAATGTAATAGTTTTACAGCACAATTTCTTATGGTCTTGAGAAGCAGGAGAGGTCTTTGGCTGGACAAAACTATCTGATGGAAAGTGTCAACTTGGAACTATAAAAAAACACAGATGTTATAGAACAAGGGTGGGGAGTACCAGTGCTAGAGGACTGAAATCCCAATATTTCTACAAGACTTCTTAGTCACCAGGTTAGACTTTAAAAAGAGCTGATTTAATTTCTTATCCATACAATTAGCTTGGCTAGGTTTAATTTAGTAATATAGAACCAAGTTAGAACACAAAACAGAGAACATGTGATCTTTGAGGACTGGAACTGCTCATTTGTGCTACAAAGCTATTGTAACATAAACATTTACTTTTAAATGCCGCATATAGAAAATGTGAAAATGCAACAAAACCACTGTCCTTGTAGCTCAGAGCCTACAGTTTCGGGGGCTCAGAACACTCTTCCACTGCCAGAAGCTTAAAGGATTTAAATTTGGAAGGGATTAACCTCAGCCTATCTTCTATATAGAGGGGGATCAACTGTATATCTGTTCAGAAGTGACTACTTCACAGTAACAGAGTAATAACGTGTCCTTAAATTCAATGGGAAAATACTCTCTAACCATCCAGCCTTAAGAACCTCCCCCATAAAAAGCTGCAAGTTAATCCAGGCAACAATTATATTTTGAGTCATGGCAGACACAAAGTTGAGCTTCAGCACAATGTTGTTTTACTTATAGATTTTAAGTGGTCGCATTTTACCAGTTGAGTCAGCTGGTTTAGTCAGTTTATGTCCTCTGTTCTTACAGTGCCTTACTTTTCAAGTTTCTATTCTCTGCTGGTTCTGCCTCAGTGGGCTGCATGGGACTGGGTTTGCTGCATCTAATGCTGGAAATAACAAGCTGAGTCTCACCTGCAGTTCCTTGCGTTTTAATTGACAGAGCAGTGAGAAAAGAGATGGCATCATGCAAAGCACTGGGGCACCAGACCCAGATTAATGCAGTACAAGAAACAGATCAGCAGGTAGGACAAAATGGGTGCTATGCAAAGATCATCTACGGAAATAACTGAATGGTCCACTTTTAGATAAGTCAAGCCAGTACTACCAAGCGCCATTGGATCAGATTTTTGCACAAGCCCAGAAATTGCCAAGCCCAAGCAGTTATTTCTAGAGCACTATTCAGTGGTGTAGCATTGCTGTCACCTCCTTTTCACCCAAATCCTCAGAAACCTTGTTTTGTGCTGTTTCGGCAGGGTCGTTCAGATCAGAGGAGGGAGATTCCTCCGTTTCCAAAGGCTGGCTCTCAGACTCTGCTGCAGATGCAGCTTCAACAGGTTGAGTAGGTTCAGCAGAATCAGATTTATTTCCTGCCTGATAAATAGTTGACATGTTGATTAAACAAAGTAGATTAAAAAAACATTTAGAGATCTTTAGCATTCCAGAGTAATGCTCATACTCTGAGTCGGGATCACACATAAAGACAAGCATCTTGTTAAAGCATTATAGATTTTGAACTGTTACCTTTTCTTCAGTGTGGTCCTCAGAGGTCACTTCTCCAGGTGTTCCCTGTGCCATTTCGGAGTGCCCCTCTGCCTCAGAGGAGTTCTCTGTTTTGACAGCCTCACTCTCTGGCTCTACTGGCTCTGCCTGAATGGACTGAGTGGAATCCACTGTGGCACTTTCAGACACCTGAGAGTATAAATCCCAAACTGAGTTACACAGCTGTTCTGCTTGTACTTACGGAACGGTATGAAAACGGCTAGCTGATCTTGAAGCTATCTGCTCTAATTTAAATGCGAGCAGGAAACGGACAATGGTAGCCATTGCATTATGTGAAGCATTGAGGGAGCAAATCCAGAAGAGTGTTGTTTATAAAACAAATGATAGATAACTGAGCAGGGAGGAGAGAATGGGGGTACCGTGGCTGCGATTATCCATGAACAGAAAGGGAAAAGGAAAACTAGAGTTTTTAGTTTTTAGATTTTTTATTATTTAATGTCCTGATGAGGTATTAAATAATTGATTAAAACAAGTACTGAATTCTCCAGATCTGCACCTGCAGATCATCCTCTTCCAATGACACTAGTAAACACTTACTTGGTAAATAAATATCACCAGTGCTTTATATGAACCACATGTTTTTCTTAAAAAATATCTTCTGAGTTACAGCTTTGCTTAAAGTCTGTGTTTTTTCATAACTGCACGTTTTCCATTTAAGGTGTGCAAAAATATGAAAGCTAATAAAAAAGGTTGATCAAATACTGAAGCAAGATGTTTAATGATGCTTTTAGGGACCGAAAGATATATAAATGTTATGAACGTATATTTCCTATGAATTATCTGATATAAAGAGTAACTGATATAAGAAGATTATTTTTAGGTATTTTAAAAGATTTTTTTTAAAAAATCTCTTAGCTCGTAATTCTTGAACACCCTGTGCACATACTGTATCTATAAGATTAAAAACCCTGTAAGTCAGCATTAAAATACCACTTGTTTGTACTGAATGCTAGAGATGAGTATTTATCTTGCTATTATCTACCACAGGCTTGTGTGACACATAGTGCATCAGCATGCCATTATCTTTAACATCATAAAGATGTCTTTATCTTTTGCAGGTAGCCAAGCACATAAATAAATGGGCTACAAAAAGAAACAAGAATGGTTGCTACTGAGTAGGGTGTGCAGGCGTTCAGTGGAAGAAGACACACTATAAAGAATGCAGTACATACCCCTTGTTCAGCAATGCTCTCATCTCTTTCCTCCACAGACGGAAGATTAGGAGCTCCATATTTATCTGAGAGTGATGCTAATGTCTTATCTGGGGGTAAGACAGGTTCAGCGTCCTAAAAAAAGGAGCACTGTTAATTTAAAAACAGTAATTTAACACTTTATTTTTAAAAAGGGTAAATCAATTGATTCACTGGCATCCTTCCTCCTGGTTCTGAGATGGAGACACACAGAACATAAATGGGACATGTGAAAGTTTTATTCCATGCTGAAAAGAGAAGAATGGTAACAAGGTTTCGGCCATGAAACCTTCGGATGTGGACGTTGTGTTGCCTTTCTTCTCTTTTCAGCATAGAATAAACCTTTTACTTGTTCCTTTGCAGTATAAGCATGCAAGCATGCTACCTACTTGAACATAAATGGGTGCCATTATTTACAGGATAATTCCTGCCTCAAAGTGACAATAAAGATTATTTGGTTTAAGAATGGACAGTTTTTGCCTCCCTCATTTGGCTCATTTGCTGAATGAACTTCAATTGCATATGTTTTATTCAGTCCTAAATTAAAATGTAAACAAAAGCTTTTCCCAGAAAACAAAACACTTTCCTGTCACAAGGACACTTTTATTTGCATTTCAGTGATACAAAGTTCTAATTCTGAACCTTGGATTATTTTGTGACGCACACAGAAAGACCCTTCAGATAAAACAAACATCTGTCTTCCTTTAAGTCACAACTTTCACAGACAAAGGGAATAAGCACTTTAACTGCTACCAAATTCAGATTTGCTTTAAACAACATGGGGAAAGTACCAATACTGAAATTTCAAACCTTTTTCAGAAACAGGACAATTTCAATTGCAGCTTTGCTAAGAATTTGTTGATTTAAAACAATGTAGATGACAGGTAACAAGCAATGAGGAGCTTCTTTTTTGCAAATTAACAGCTATTGTAAGGCTACACAGCTACTTTTCCATCAGTCATTATGAAACAAACTAAAAAATCGACTGAAGTACTTTGAAAATCAAAGACTGCATGATAAGATCAATGCTAATGTTGCACATTGTGCAACGAGTGAACACGAGGAGAGGTGATTATCTTTTCCGTCTAGCAAACGGAAGAGCCTGCCTTTCAGTACACCTACCTTCACTAACTCTCGCTCCGCTTGGCGGATCTTGTCCTCCTCCTCTTTCATCCTCTCCAGGAGTGCGGCCTCAGCCCTGGCCCGCTGCAACTCCTGCTCCAGCTGCAGCTGCTGTATTTTCCTCTGCCAAACACAAGCCGTTATCAAGAGGGTGCCTTTATTTCCCTACAAGCCCTTGTCAGATTTTACCATGGGTCTTCCAGTACATGTAGAGACCTACTGCCTGACCATCCGCAGGACGCACAGGGCCAGGGTGTGCTTAGGTTTACTCCATTTTGTGTTGGGTATTGTACTGCAGTTCTATCTTCACTGTGTCAAGGCTGCTTGTTTACAACTGCAGAGCTTCGTGAAAGTTCATGATAAACAATATCATGCAGGGTAAAAGTTCCAGAGTTTCTTAGTGAGAAATGTGAGAATGCTGTTTTTGCGCACAAACAGTTCCTGGGAAGAGGACGCCTCTTCACTCTTGTTAAACTCTTTTGTATATTTCTGTGGAGCAGAGAAGGGCAAATCCAGCCCTGGGGTTTCCACAACATTATGGTTTTAATTCCATCTGTGATCTTAATTATTTAATTGAACTAATGTTTTAAATTACATTTTTTTCTTCTTTAAGCAGTGGCTAATTAAAAAGTACTTGCATAATTCTGGCCCTGAAGGAATGAAATTACTAATTCCTGCTGTAAAGCCCCTAGCATCGAAACACCCTAGTTCCTGTGCATCATTCTGAACCAAATATTTTTTTGAATGCCTGTAAATATGGCATTTAAATAAATTACTTCACATATTGATAGTTAACAAAATGTCAATGTTTCCGTGTTAATAGGGAAAGTAGTATTACGTTTTTATCAGTCATTTTGCTTGCCAGTATAATTTTAATTTGACAGCTGTCCGAGTGCTCATTTTCATGAAGGCAGGACAGTTTTCTGAGACTTGACCAGGCCACTATTAGTACAGAACATCGGAGTGAACCAGATACGACTTCTTAACCGGCGACTTCTGCAGAATATCACATACTAATAGCCTAACAGGCTCAAACTGTATGGCTTCCTCCGGAAGGTTACTCATTTATCATAATAGCATGTTATTAAGAAATAACAAACACGAACAATTAATTTTAATAACACCTGGGGAGAGATCCGCGAAACACCGTCAGGAAAGCAACAGGAGTCTGGACTGTGATGACGCCATTAGCCTCAGCCAGCTGATGTCAAACGTTTTAATAGGTTGCAACATTTTGTATATGTCGTTTTTTTACGTTTAGAATTTAAAATGACAAAGAACAACGACATGCATACATTATTCTGACATCCCCATCGAACGAAGCTATACAAACTAATTATTGATGGGATATCACATTTAACAGTGAGATGTTTTGTCAGCCACAGCGCAGTGCACTTCGATCGCCCCCTACTGGAAACTGAGTGAACGCCACCTAAACTGCAGAACTTGGTAACCGATTTTCATGGCGAAAAAATACTAACTCAAAGTGGCAATCATCATTATTAGCCTACTCTGTTTCCGATATGGGCTTGATCATATAAATAATATAATAATAAATAATCATATAAATGCGGCCTAGCTGGGGAGCAGTATAGTACTTTTAAATCTACCCCACCGGGTACCTGACTGCCGCAGAACTGAAAGAACAGGAAGCGGCTGACTGAGATAACTAGTTTCTGCGCTGAAATTTAAAATAAAGTATCTGAAGGTTTTATGAAAGGTGACCCAAAACACCTTCTACACATCAGGTAGCTCATGTTTTGCATGTAGTTTAGTTAACTGGAACAAGTAATAGGTTTATTCCATGCTGAAAAAAAGAAGAAAGAAAACACAACGTTTCGGCCGTGGAGCCTTCAGGTGTTTAGTTAATTGAACAGGTACAGTGCACAAGCTTTTAAGATTAACTAAAAGCTACTTTACATCTTTAGTCAGAATATAGGAATATAAACACATATCACGAAAAAGCATAAGAAAAATGTAAAATAGATATTACAGGTGATAAAACAAAAAGGGAATATTTAATAAATATATCAAATATTGTATGAGTCACACTAGACGACTGTTATCAAGATCAATGACATCATATTATTAGTTATTAAAAGAGTCATATCAGTCATGGCCAGATCGAACAGTACTCTGCTGTAAAAAATAAAACAGACACAAGCAGGTCATGGCAAGACCGTACCATTTCCTGGTAGTCCAGGTTCTCCTTGTATTTATAGATCCAGTGAGCGAGGTACTCGATGGGGTCCATGGGTCGGAGCTCCGCCACCTCGGCCAGCCCCTCCACCAGGCACTTCCCCACGGACCTCTTCAGGTACTCCGTGTCCATCGCGCAGACCCGGGCTGCTGAGGAGAGTCACAAGCTGTCGGAGCGGCACGGAGCTTGAGAATCCGAGCTTCAGTAACAACTACAATCGCCAGTTTAATAAAACGATCAAGAGGTTAACGGCATTAAACCGTCGACCCGACCCATACAGGCAGATAAAATCATAATGTTCTCAAATTTCACTTTTACGACAGCAATAATAAAACAATACAGTGTACTTAAGCATTGTTCATATTTTTAAAAGCTTTTCTGTTATACTTTATAAATTCACAAAAATACTTAACCCCAGTTGTTGCTGTTTTTGTACACCAACAAGCAATCAGCGTCCGGAACTTTATTTAATCTCCATAGAAACAGTGCTACATCGTTTCATGCCCTCCGAAAACATCACCTACAAAGTGTGTTCCACACGCATGTCTCGTTTTACTCTTGATTAAAACGCCACACTTTGATTCTGGTTTATACATTAACTCACTCTTTTCATTTAAAAGGACTGTATTTTCCCCACACTTTAAAGATTCATGACATAATTATGATTATGAACATAACGTTGTTGTAATGAAGTGTCATATATTAATGTAAATTAACGTTAATAACGTGGAACATTTGTGCTGTGGTTGGAATATAATCCCATTTGCTGTTAATAACAACGTTAATTCGTACTAATACAAAATTCATTTTAGTAATCGATTCAGAATAAATAAGACTGATGACTGTGTTCTGTATTGAATAATTTATCTAGTATCCCAATCGTTCTCTAATCTCAAATCAAGTGTAAACACTATAGTAAACTGTAAACTAAATGGGAGAAAATCTAAAGTGAGTTGCAATGACATAGCATTTCATTACATTTACAATAAAAAGACGCCATGCATTTTAATACAATATACAATACACAACCCCCCTTCAAAATTCACTAAACCCAGTATACTGCTAACTTTTTATTGGCAAATGCAATGTTAGGTGCAGGTAAACACGAGGAGACCCAGGGGTGGATAAAAGTAACGAATCAACTCGCTTAGCACTACTACTCTAATCTGTTTTTAGTGTTATCTTAGCTGGTGGGAACACACTTTGTATAACATGGAAAACAAACAAAAACAGAACTAAACAGAGCAAAACAATATTAGTCCTGCAAGTTAGGCTCACATTCATACTTTTGGAATCTCCGTTTTTGTAAGGATTTTGGGCTAAGGGTCAGGATTATTCCTGAAGATTATACTGTACCTTTCAGTGCAGATGCCTTGAGCTACTGATAAAAAAATGAAAGCATGCCTTAATATTTAGGGTTTACAATACAGCTGTATGCTATCGGGTCAGTGTTAGAATCTGAAAGTGTGGGCAAGAGTTGGCTCCACCATATATTGATACAAAGGTCGGGCACATAGCAGCTGAGCCTGCAGCGGCCACAGTGTCCTTCTGTTTGTGATGTCTGGCCATGTCCAGCCAAGTCAAACTGGACTGGTCTGGACACACTACTTTGAACACAAACAGATCGATTCCTCCCCTGTACTCATACGGCATCACCACATTCCATTATTATATTACCTGAGGCTTTTATCCAAAGCAATTTACATTCAGACCCATTTATATAGCTGGACGTTTTACTGAAGCAGTCTCGAGTGAAGTGCCTTGCTTAAGGAAACAATAGCACAAGTTGAAAACCAAATACTAATACATTATATTGAACATAATATGTGTGTCTGTGTTGTCTGTGTTGTCTGAGACTCGGAGACCGCTTCAGAGAACACGTCAGGGCTGTGAAGATTAAAGATCTCTCCAAGCCCATTGTTTCTCATTTCACCTCTGACGGCCACGACCACTAATCTCTTCATCTGTGTTCTCAAAGACGGTTTTCCGAACTCATACATCAGAAAGACCACCGAAACTAAAATTATTCTGCAGTTAGGATCACACATTCTCCCTTCCCTTAACGACAGATTACTGTTCTTTTAAATTTTCTCCATTCATTGGAAGTTTCATTTCACACCTCTCTGCACCCATTCTGACTTCACACCTCTTGATTGGCCTCTCTTTCTGTCCCCTGCTCCCGCCTCTCACTCCTCCTCCCTCCCAGCCTTTGTTCTCCCGCTACTTTACCTTTGCCTACTGCCCTGTCTCTCTCACACCTGAAGAAGGCTCCACGGCCGAAACGTTGTGTTCTCTTTCTTCTTTTTTTTCAGCATGGAATAAACCTATTACTTGTTCCTTTGCAGCCTACGCATGCTGACGCAGCTACCCACCTGAACTATAATATGTGTGTACTGATAATGAGAAAATAAGACATTTTCTTTCATGTTAAGTTTGAAATATTTTTTAGGAAATAACACTCAATGTTACAAATGTAACTGGCTTAACCTGCTTAAACTTGCATCCTGGAATATATGTATGAGATTGCAACTTTCCGAATGTTTCCTAATTTTGAAAAAAAAAAAGCGTGAGTTTCAACTGTCTTGGGCCATTTAGGTAGATAGTTACTTTATTGATCCCGTGAGGGAAATTGCAGTGCAACAGCAGCTTAACACAGACAACACAGACACAGTGTAATGAATGATACAATAATAATACAATACATACAATACAATCAGTAGAAGAGTTACTCGCAGTCCAGAACACACAAAGAACAGAACAAACCAGAACAGAAAGTCATATTGCACAATATGACTATAAATAAATTATAAATGTATTGCACAGGTCCCTGGCATATATTGCACAAAAACAGTTTTAAAATGAGAAAAGAAAAAGAACAGATGTATCAGTTTACTGCTCAGTCCAGAAACAGGTCACTGTCAATGTTGCCTCTGCCCAGACGCAAGGTGGATGCGTTGTACAGTCTTATGGCAGAAGGCAAGAATGACCCCCTGTAGCGCTCCCTGTCGCAGCATGGATGGATCAGTCTACTGCTGAACGTGCTCTTTATTTCTACAAGCCTGTCATAGGATGGGAGACGTTGTCCATGATGGCCTCTAGTTTGGACACCATTCTCCTCTCAGCCACTACCTCCAGGGGGTCCAGGCCAGACAGAGCTTGCTCTCCTGATGAGCTTATTCAGCCTGTTAGAATCCACTGCTCTAATCCCAGAGCCCCAGCATACCACCGCGTAGAAAATGGCGCTTGCACCACCGACTGATAGAACAGATGTAGCATTTTACTACACACATTGAAGGATCTGAGCCACCTCAAGAAGTAAAGTCGGCTCTGACCCTTCTTGTAAATGAACCTTCTTAGACCATTCCAGTCTATCGTCGATGTGCACTCCCAGGTACTTGTACAAGTCCACCATCTCCATGCCACTCCCATGGATGTAGACAGGAGTAGGTTGGACCCTCTTCCTCCTGAAGTCTATCACCAACTCCTTAGTCTTTGCTACATTCAATTGGAGGTGGTTCTCCCCACACCACTCCACAAAGCTGCTCACCAGTCCTCTGTACTCTTCCTCCTGTCCACCCTTGATACATCCCACAATTGCAGAGTCATCTGAGAACTTCTGCAGGTGGCATGACTTTGAGTTGTATTTAAAGTCCGAGGTATAGAGGGTGAAGAGGAACGGAGAAAGAACCGCCCCCTGAGGAGCCCCTGTGTTACTTAGTACCTGTTCAGACACACAGTTCTGAAGTCTCACAGACTGTGGTCTGCCTGTCAGGTAGTCAGTAAATGTCAGTAAATTTAAATGTGAAGCCAAAGACAACAAGCTAATTACAGGACCTTTGATGAGTTGGAGAGATCTAAAATGATATACTGGAATATGAACATGAAAGTTTATCAGAAATAGAAATTTGAGTGTCACAATGCATAAACTAAAAACTGGATACAAATTGATGTATTGTAAGTGCTCCTGAATTATCTGTCCTGACACCTAGTGGTATTTAGCTGCATAAACACTTACTTTATGTCTGATAGATACAAACAGTATTTTTAAACATAAATGTAAAACACCAGATAGCACAGTGGCGCAATGGTTAGCATTGCAGCCTCACATTACTGAGGCCCCTGGTTCAGTTCTGGACCTGGGGTGCTATCTGAGTGGAGATTGTATGTTCTCCCCGTGTTCATGTGGGTTTCCTGCAGGTGCTCTGGTTTCCTCCTGCAGTCCACAGACATACTGTTATGTTACTTGGCTTCTGGGAAAACTGTCCCTGGTGTGTTGGTATTTGTATCTGTGAGTGCCTTCTGCTGGGCTGGTGTCCTATACAGTGTGTACCCTGCCTTGCACCCATTTCTTGCCAGCATAGGCTCCAGCTCTCCCGTGCCCTATACTGGACCAAG